CCCCCCAAGCTTGGCCATTGACTGTATCTCGGGCATGTAGACAACTCAATCCTGGGCGGTCGGATAGATTCTGGGCCACTGAGTCCTGGGAAGCTGGCCGTGGCCAAGTTTGACGGGGACACTCAAATGGTCTTGGTGACAGCCACTTCGGACGGAAAATTCCTAGCGGCGCGTCACTGGAGTAGGGGCTCGACCCAGTTCGCTGACCAGAGAAGGATGAAAATTGAGGGCCGCCCGAAAGATCTCCCGCCAGATCTTAATATCATCGCGGTGGCCATGGCCGAAGGGCATCTCTACATCAACAATAATAACACAAGAATCGAGGAGTACAACCACACCGCCGGCAACCCGTACTCGATAACCTACCAGGGCATCGTCGACATCTTTCCCCCAGAGGATTGATGTGTTTTACTCGGCCCATTATTTCAGTGTATATCTCGAGAGTTGAGTAATTCCGCCTGTCGCCAACAATACCCGCTCGAAGATCGCCCCTCGACACTGCAAGCTTGGACCTGCAGTTCCCGAAAGCTTGCAGATGCTGCTCAGGTCAATGCGGCGAGGCGTGAGGCGAAGCTACATGTATCTCCGCTATGGTGTCGTATGCACATGCATTTCGCGGAAAGTCAAGAGAGGAGAACAGTTGGCCCTCGGCCCAGAATGCAGGTGGTCAGGTCGGCCACCTGCGGTCTCGCGGCCTCGGAGCAGCACCACGGGCGCGGCCGCGACTGGGCTGGCAAGGCCGGGCGGGCTCGCCTGAGGGAACATGGAAGGCTAGGGCGAAGGCGGGGTGCGGTATACCCTAACCCTATAAGCAAGCACGCCGCAGGGAATACAATGGCCCGGCGGCGGCCGGGGATGAGGGGACGTCAAGGTGCTTGATAAGCAGCGATGGAACTCGTTATAATGCTGCGACGTCCGCTCGACACAGCAGCGCGGGCGAATTTAATGATGATATTTAATCTATCAAGACTACCCAGATGTTTCGTAGTTGCTAGTGTTACTACACGTGAAGTGAGCGAGTCCCCAAGCGCTCTACTGCCCTAATACTGCATCATATGCCGAAACGGGCGAGAGCCTCGCATCATCCTGGGTCTTGGACGCTAACATCGCCGGCAGAACCCACCCCGCACCATTTACTATCTATCGATTGCGAAGGACATTATCCATAATGCGCGCTGTCACGTTCGACAAGACGGGCGACTCGTCGGTCCTGCAAGTCCGCGATGACGTGGCCAAGCCGACGCCAAAGCCGTCAGAGGTGCTCGTGAAGGTCGAGTGGGCAGGCGTGAACTTTTACGACACCTACGTCCGGACCGGCCTGTACAAATTCCCGCTCCCCTTCACCACCGGGGCCGAGGGCGCCGGCACGATCGAGTCGGTGGGCGCCGACGCCGCACGCGAGTACCCGAACCTGAGCGTCGGGGACCGCGTCGCCTTCATGGCGCCCGGATCCGCGGCCGAGTACGCGACGGCGCCGGCCGCCAAGGTGGCACGCCTCCCCGAGGGCGTCAGCACGCGCGACGGCGCGGCGCTGCTGCTGCAGGGCCTGACGGCCTGGACGCTGGTCCGGGACGCGCACGAGGTCAAGGCCGGCGAGATCGTCCTCGTGCAGGCGGCCGCGGGCGGCACGGGCGGCCTCGTGGTGCAGATGGCCAAGCACCTGGGCGCCACCGTCATCGGGACCGTGTCGACCGACGACAAGGCGGAGCTGGCGCGCGCCCACGGCTGCGACCACGTCGTCGTGTACACGCGCGACGACGTGCTCGCCGCCGTCGACGAGGTCACGCGCGGCCAGGGCTGCCACGCCGTCTTCTCGGGCGTGGGCGCCGCCACCTTTGACGCGGACCTGGCGGCCACGCGCCGGCGCGGGTCGCTCGTCTCGTTCGGCAACGCGTCGGGCGCCGTCGTGGGCGTCGACATACTGCGGCTCACGCCCAAGAACGTGCGGCTGCTGCGCCCGTCCGTCCGTGGCTACGTGGCCACGCGTGACGAGTGGGAGGGCCGGTGCGCCGAGCTGTTTGACCTGCTGGCGCGCGGGGCCGTCAAGGTCCACGTCGGCGGCACGTACGCGCTCGACACGCTGGCCCGGGCGCACGACGACCTGACGGGCAAGAAGACGGTCGGGAAGCTCGTCGTCAAGGTGGCTGAATAGGAACAAGCCCCCCGTTCAGGCCGCGCATTGGCTGGATTCCCTGCTTCCATGTGATAGTATTCGGTCCTGATCGCGGCCACACTACCTTCTTTCGGTTCGACCGCCGACGTGGGCTTTCGGTCCTTGGCCAGCGCGCCCTCTCAGGCAAGCATCAGGGGTTTTTGCAATTCCCATATACTACCTATCATGTGTCCCGTCCCGGCTGTATGTCCCGGGGGTGCGGTGTAGCCATATCTTGGCGTATCTTCAAATAGCAGAACCTCGTCATGTGCTGGCAATATTGGATGCAGATCGATCCCGGAGGGCTCGTTTTTCGTATAGGTATCCAGGATCACAAACACTAGTGCGGTGGAGCAAGATACATTTTCTTCCTTGAGCCAAACTGATGCACAGGTCCCAGGGATCACAAACCTTAGTACGGTGGATCCTGGTGGTACATCAGTTTGGCTTGGTTTTCTGAGGAAGAAAATGTATCTTGCATCCACCGCACTAGGGTTTGTGATCCTGGACACCTGTATATTGACGTCTGTAGCGTGCTCCCCATCCCCCCATTCACCTGCATGGGATCTTGACCGATGCGATTCCCCTACTCAGACGCTCACTAGCGCGCATCCTAAGAGAGGGGAACAATCTCTATTTTGGTGCACGGGTACCTATACCGCGTGTGCCAAGAGCAGAACAGGATCGAACCCCGGGCACGCCGCGAAGAAGCCGGTATTAGACGGGTACATCCACCCAATGAGGCAGGAGGAATCTCATACAAGCCACAGCCTCACGAGGGGCAGGTTGCAAGCTGGCGAGTCAGATTCAGCTGGAGGATTGCGGCTTTCATGGCCTACAGTGATGGCCAAATTCGACGACCCCGGCGGTGCGGCTGAACACCGATGACAGGGTTTTGGGTACGTTACCCTATGTCTGGACAACACATGACGCTGGCGATGGCATGCTTCTCCAATACCAAGCGATGCGGTACAGGTCTCCGTATGAGTGAGTGTTCACGGACAAAGGGAAGAAATCGTGTATAAATATCGCCCCTCGTGGCTTCATCTCCATGAACATTTCACGACAGGCCAGCATCTGCTCTCCTCTCAAGCACTCGTCTCCTCGCAGCTCCACATCAAAACGCCGCAGTATCAACTTCATCTGCCACCAAAAAAAAAAAACTCCTCACGCCAGCCTCCCCCAAAAAACCCACAAGGCAACAATGCAGTTCAAGGTCCTCGCCACCGCCCTCTTCGCCGCCCTCGCCGCCGCGCACCCCTCCCCGACGGAGGCGGGCGAGGCGGCCGGCCCGGCGGCGCCGCTCGAGAG